AATTCTGTTGTTCTGTTTAAGAACAAAACAGAACAAAAATAAATCCTCAACAAAGAATAGATATTGAAAACTTTTTTCTTTCAAAATGTTTTCCATATTGCTATATCAAGCCCCCAATTAATCATTTGAACTAACATTTTAAAGCTTCAAGAGAGACAGTATATTTCTCACCTCCACGGATCTCTATTCAATACTGCATTATTATTTATTCAACTCCTAGAACAGTTGGCATGAGTTTGATAGGATAGCTGTATTATTGCAATATCCATCCAATGAAATTACATAATTGCCTAATTTAATGCAAATGTGGTTTAAGAATTTTAACTTGATGGATTCCTAAGGTTTTGACATTACATTTATTTTATCTTTAAGATTATATGTTCATCTATAATATTGTTGAATTTTAGTAAATTTTCACATACTATATATTGTGCCCCGGGTAAAAGATATTAAATTTGGATGAACCTGTTGTTGAAGGCTTATGTTTCACATTATAATAATGATCAGGAAAATGGTGCGAGAAATCTTTAAAATTTTCCTCTTTCTTTATTTCTTATAGAAATTATTTTTAAAAAAATGATAGAATGCAGAAAACTAAATATCAAACTAAGTACAATTTAACTATCGAACCTACATCTATCTCACACAAAAAATTGATTGACTCGTACAAAGAACAATGATTGGTAATATATGATCATGTATTGAAAAGTTGAGGATCTTACTGGCAATTTTTTTATTTCGAAGGGTTTACATGTAACCACAATATCTCAATATAATAGTATCTAGATTAATCATGACTTACCAGTCCCTTTCTCTTGTATTTTCCACTATATATAACTTCCCTCTTCGCTATGAATCTTCTAGTCTTCAAACACACTTGAACAAAATCTAAGTCCTCCCACCAAACTCAAACCTCTAAAAATATGGCCATGTCTCAGCCAAATTTAACAGAAAACCCTGTAAAACTTAGCAAATTCAGGAATATTAATCAAGCTCAACAAAGAAATAGGTTATCTTTTTGGGTCTTTATTTTTTCTATTTTCATGTATATTTCCATCTTTTATATCTTCAACCTCTCCCCATCTACTCTTCTTAACACCACCAACTTCTGGTTCTTCATTTCCAACACCCTCATTCTCATTATTGCAGTTGATTTTGGCTCTTTTTCTTCTTCAAGTAATCAACAATATTCATTTGAAGAGTACATAAAAAAATGCCAACAAGAAAAGAATGTTAATATTAGTACTTCATCATTTAATTATTCTCAGGATACGATCAAATCTATTGAATATAAGGAGATTATGCCACAAGAAGAGGTCGTTATGATAAAAGAAGTAGAAGAACAACAAGAACAAGGCGACGACGAAGAAGAAAACATAAAAGATGTGGTTTTTGTCGAAAAAAACAAAAAAGAAAAAGAAATAATCAACATTACTAATAAAGATGAAGTTGATCAAGAAGATAAGAAGAAGAATAAGAAGAGTGGTGAAGCCAAATGCGAACGGAGTAACTCAGAAAAAGCAATGATAAAGGTGGCGACCAATAATGGGAATATTGAGAAGAAGATAAATGGGATTCAAAGGTCAAAATCTGAGAGATATAATTTCGTAAATAAAGGAGATGAAGAAAATGAAGAATTCTCAGAGATGTCAGTAGAGGAGCTGAATAGAAGGGTTGAGGAGTTTATTCTAAGATTTAATAGACAGATTAGACTTCAAGCTGTTGCTAGAAACCTCCAAACTTAGTGAAAATCTATAAGGATGTGCTGCCTTCTTTTTTGTTTTGTTTTGTTTTGTTTGGTTGTGTTCCGTCTTCTTTTTCTTAATAATAGTGAGTGTAAATGCTATAGACTTATTCATACATGAAAGTATCCGGATCGTCTTGTGCGTAATTTGACTATTTGTTACTTACTCAGAATCTACCTTCCATCTATACATATATCGAATAATTAATTGTACGCATATAACGTAGATATCGGGTTATATATGAAAGCAGGGGCGGCTGAAGGGCCAAGCAAATAAAGCATTTGCTTTAGCCCCAAGCTCTTGAGGGCCCCAAAATTTTATGTAATAATTAATTTTATAGCTTAAAATCACATTTTATTTCTTTCTTTTGAAAGTTTTAAAGTATTGAAGTAAACAAAAAAAGCTGATCGATTCATCTTGATATCAATTACTCCCTTCATCCCAATATATGTGATAGTGTTCGGATTTTGAGAGTTAAATGAATTATACTTTGATCGTATTTATTTATATGTCTTTTAAATATTTTAAATAATTAATTTTTGTGACTTAAAGTACTTTTATATAGTTTTCAAGTATGTAAGTTTAATTTTTAAAAAATTTAAAGATTCTATATCTAAATGCACAGTCAAAATTAAAAAGTTTGAATCTCGAAAATAAAAAGTGTTAGAGACACGGGGAATATTAAGTTATAACTTCTAGAATAAGATTCTATTGTTATAAAATTTTATTATCTATCAACATGATATCTTCTCTATAGTATATTAATTTTTTGTTATACACTAGCTAAAATTTATAGAGTATCAGCTAGAAATATGAATTGATCAAAACTCAAAAAAGCAAATGAGATCAATTGAAACTTTGATAGAATCTCATAAAGGTGCTCCGGCTGATTTTTTAACAAATAATAAAAAACTAAATTAATAAATATGAGAGAATATTTTTTAGAAAAAAAAGGATTATTAGAAAGAATTTGATTTTAAAATATTAATTCATAACTTTGAACCCCAAAAAATAAGAAAAACAAAAGTGTAAGGCCTCATGAATAATTTGTCTTTAGGCCATTATTGTAGTTGAGCCGCCCCTGTATGAAAGGCTTTGGAGAACGAAAATATGACGCAAAATAGAGAACGAAAATGCAATTAATTGATTCTTGTTTTGAAGGAAAAAAAGTATTTCTCTTCGACTTGCAAAGAGAAATATAACATGCTTCAAGTAATAACGAAGACAGTAAGTTACATATTTAATAACCGGCTGGTTGAGGATACTGATCTATTTTTTCCAATAATCACCATACGTTTGACGTGGTAATTGAAAAGGTTCACTCAAATTAAATTGGAACCTTTTTTTTTTTTTTTGGTAAAGGGAAACTACTTTTATTACTAGAAGAGTTTACTACATAGCTTGACTTGCCTAGGATACATCGAACCTAAATAATCATTTTCATAAGATGATGAAACTAGAGAAGGAATACATTGTTGGGCTAATTAGCCCAAATACACTCTTAATATGGTGAGATGTTGTCCGTTTTGGGCCAAGCCCGCACGGTTTTTTTCAAAAGGCCTCATACTATTAAGAGATCCCTACATCTTATATGTAAACTCCCAATCTTTTCAGCTACCAATGTGGACATTGTTCGCACACCCAACAATCTCCCCCTCGAACTAAGTTCCACGTGGCCCACTACCACGATCCACAAGTCAGTTTCAAGATTACTGTGTGTCACCCCCATTGTTAGAATATATGGCAACCGAAGTCCGCAACTAGCTTCTTCTTGTGTGTGTGCCGCCCCGCACCATTACTCCGCCATCCCCATACTCGTCCCGCTGAACCTGGGCTCTGATACCAGTTGTTGGGCTAAACTAGCCCAAATACACTCTATAATATGGTGTTATATTGTCCGCTTAGGGCCAAGCCCGCACGGTTTTCCCCAAAAGGCATCACACCATTAAGAGATCCTTACATCTTATATGTAGACTCCCAATCTTTTCAGCTACCAATGTGGGACTTTGTTCGCATACCCAACATACATATAGATAATTAAGTTTCAAAAACTTCTAAAATACTTTTATGCTTAGCTAGGTCATCCACTGCTTAATTGCCTTCCCTTAGCCTATACTTTAGGCAATCATCAATAATCGTAGAATGGTTGTTACCATTTGAAAAAACATGTTAGTAATTTCTTTACATTCAGTTCCTATTCAACTAGTATGGTTCCATTTTATGTACGAACTAAGTAAATCATTCTAACTCAATCATGATACATGAGGCATCAGTTTTACGATAGGGTCAAACTACAGAAAAGAAATGACGGAGATATTAGCTATCATATGCATATATGGATCGTAATGATCGATGAAATCAGTATATGCATAACATCATAGTACTGTTATTCTTGTGGATAATATTTTTGTTTTTAAAATATAAAAAGGAGGTTAACAAGTAAGTGAAATGTTGTTCATATTTCTCAATTTCAACTAACTTACAATTATTTTTCCTTCTTTCATCATTATAATGATGCCTTGTGGCATTACTGTGACGTGGCCATAAAAAATAAGGTAAAATTGTTACAATTTATATTGTTTGAGATACAAGTGTATAACGTGGAAAGGAGGGGAAGTATATATGTCGAGCAATAATTGTTCGCCGAATACCTACTAATTTTCTTAACTTGGTACCATTTATTTGGTGCACATCTAAATTATATTATTATGATAGGATTTGAGCATGTGACTTATATGTAATTTTTTAATCAACATTGTTGCTATACAGGAATATCTTTGAATTTCTTCTTATATACGTGGATTTACGCACTTTTACTCTATTTGCATAGTATAATTTTTGACAACGAAGATTCAGTTGGATCCCTTACTCCTACTTAGTTCCGCTCCTGATATCGTGCTATTAGGCTAGATTAAAGAGCCTCTGTAATCACAATTTGTATTGTCTATTAGCTTTGGATTTGCCTGTCATTTGTCAGCCGTCCATTGGCCCTCAATCCTTCTTACAAAGCAGAAAATCCTTCTTTTTGTTACTTCCAAACGATTGTAAAATTCATTAATTATTTTTTTCCTATAAATAAAGTCGAGCCCACTATTCAAATTATTCTCCCAAAGTGTTTTACCCCGTCTTTGGTTTGGTGCCTACTCCTCCCCCCCCCCCCCC